ATTCGTTGGCGCATCGTAGATTATATACCCTTTCATCCCACACTGCGGAAAACTCGAAAAAACACTCCTGGATGCTTTACTACCCACGTATTTTGTCACCATCTTGGCGGTTTTGTCAAAGACGTAGGCCTCACCCTCTCCAAAACAGTGGACTACCACTTTGATTTTCTCGGCATCGCAGTGCAGCAGCTGGTAGAGAAGGTACGAACCGGCATTCATCGACTTCCCAATCCCGGGCGTTCCAATCAAGAGACGGTGCCTAAGCGAGGGGCGGTACCCACCGTAAGGGCCAGACAATTCTTCTAGATCTTCCTTGACAATCTGCCACACTCGATCCACCTCACAGTTCACATAACAGTCAACAATGGGTTTATTCTCCCTCCACGAGTACGGCCATCCCTTCTCCGAGGTGAGCACCATCAGCCTGGGACGTGGCGGGCTGAATTGCTCCACACCGTCATCCTTTTCGAAAGTTAGACCTTTCTTCTCGTACGTCCATGACTGCGGTGGTTTTCCCTCATGTATCTCCATTCGGTCCTCACAAATCTTATTGTCATAAAACCCCAAGACATGGCCCCACTTCGCACCGTACACAGACTCGTAGAATCCCTCCAGCTTGGTTGTCTTTTCTTCAGTATCCTGCATCACATCTTCTTCTGCCCTCCGCTTCGTCCTTTCTTCTGCCTCCCACCTTGCTACTTCTTTCTGTATCTGAGTGAGGGCATCGGTAATTTTTTTCCTTGTAAGAGGAGTGACAGTATCCTTCTCTTTAAATTCAATCCAGTTTTCAAGATAGTGCACACCCCCTTCCGTAAGCTTGCGCCTATCTGTTAAAAGCTGATAATCCTTTAAATTAGAAATTTCTTCAAGCAGCTGCTGGTCTTTTATGTAGGCATCGGGACTCTCCAAAAAGTCCCACATATCCACTTTCCTTTTTCTAACGGCCGCCCTGGAGCCAAAATACTCCCGAAGAAAATCATTCAGCTTCATATCGGAAATGTCGGTCTCTCCGTCCAGCAGGATGTCGCTCACGGTGCTGCACATGGTCCACCGTAGTTGCGCTTCCTCCACTCTTATGAGAGTCGCAGCGGGCTGATCTGTGTCACCCTCAAGGTCCGACCTCGCTCTCCTCTGAGAATCTCCCTGTGGCACAGCAGACGCTTGGCCCTTGGTATTGCCACCTTGCACTCTATTGCGCTTTGAAGGCATTGTTTCTCCTTGTTTTCTTAGCTGGATCGAGTTAAAACTGAACACTAACAAACAATCAAAAGGGGAACAAGAAAGAAATGAGATACGCACGGATATGACTAGCAGCCACAAAAATAGAGACATCCACACAGCGTGACGCACACCACATGCACGGAGACCACCGCAACGACGGCAAGCGGGTACCATCCACCCAGCACAGTGTTGGAGAGGGCCAACAACAACAACGTGGTGGGCGCGGAGGGTTCGCCCACGCATTCCGCTGGTCACGGTCCCACACCCCTGTGGCACCGCTGTCACCACACACACTCTAAAAGAGGACATGCTCGCACAACGCCGCTGAAACACACAAACACCGCAGTGCTGTCAGTCCGCGGGTGGGAGGATTCGGCCCTCCACACAACAAACGCACACACCGCCACCGCCTCCAGAACATTCTCACGGGCAACGGGATACGGCCACATCCCCGCAGCCAACACACAACGCACCCGGGGCGAGCACCCACCACGCCAGCCACACGTTGAAGTGGACCCTCACCCATCCACCAGTCACGCGGCACCAAAATTTACACAGCCATCCCTCTTTCAATGGAATGGCAGTGCTTCACGCGGTGGCACAAAATAAACATTCACCCAGGCCGCTTTCCTCATCCTGAGGTTATCAATCACAGAAAACAAAAAAGACGGGAACGAGAAGGGTTGAATGGAATAAGAGTGGGTTCACCACATCCTCAAACTTTACACCAAGTAAATGTATGTATGTATACATCATCCATTGGCCACAATTGTGGTCCGCTCACTCTACTCGGATTGGATGTATATATAATTTCTTACGAAGTGGCAGACTTTGGGGTCCTCCAGCCACAAGATCCCGCCGCTCCCCTTCGCCAAGTCCTGAAGTGTAAAAACACGACCGCGTGATATGCCGTCTGCGGGGTTGTCCGCAGACCGCACGTAGGCAAAGGATACCTGTATTCCGCGAGAGTCAACAAACTCATATATCCGTTGCAGCTCCCACGTCATGGAGTGTGATTTTGAGCTGCCTTTATTCGCCGCTCCTCGCAGCGAAGTGTTGTCCACCCAAAAGTCCATGGTGGATGGCAAGATGGCGGAAAAAGGCCGATAAGGCTAAGCGTACCGCGCGTGCCTCCGCCTGCATGATAAGAAAAGGCTTCCTCTCCCATTTCCCCCGGCAAGTTTAACGTCGCCGGAGTATGAAATAATAACGGCTCCCCATCCACAAAACAATGCATTTGTGATGATGGCGGCCACTGCCTTTTCCGTGGGCTTGATGATTCGCTTACGATTATATTCTCGATGCTGTGTCGCAATCTCTCGCCCAAACCAACCGCTGCTGGTGGAGGTTTGCCGGGGATGTCTCCAGCACAATCCCCCGGTTAAGTGCCGATAACCGTCGTCGCACTGCCTTGATGAAAAAGTAGCAGTCAAATAAACGCCTGAACAAAAGTGGCAGACGCGTACAAAAAGCGTGACGCCACAACCTCCATTTCCGCGATGGTTAAATACTTCAGCGACGGCATGGCGCATAAACACCGGACAAACTTGTCACTCAGGGACACCGCCCGGTGTGTGTGATCAAACAGCACCACAGAAAGATTTAATGCGTAGCGCCCGATTCGCGTTCCTCCATCGTAGCGTGACGGCCATCCGCATCACAAAGCACCTGGGCTTCCCACAATGTCACATCGCTTTTCGGCCCTGCAATGCGTATATCATCGATCCATACGTCGATACGCAACAATGGAGGTGCAGCCCAGAGGCGGTGAGCCACCGTCGTCACCCCGCAATTGCCGAAGTAATAATAATCCGGAAAATTTCTGGGCTGGCCTTGTGTCCCATTGGGAGCCGTGTGAGCTCCACCAGCGTGCCGTCCTTCACGCGGCATCGAAAGAGATGCCGAGTTTCCGCAGCAACAAAAACCGGAAAAAGGATGCCTTTAATTCCACGCAGGAAGCGGCCTCAGCCATCACAGGTGACAAATAATGGGAAATGTGTAAAAGAGGAGCATGAGCCTCGTAAGGGTCGTCTCTCTTCTCGTCGCGTGGCCACGCGATCCATCGTCGTCGTAAACCGGTGGTTTTCTCCTCCACCACAGAAAAGGCATTATCCATCCGCCGCTTGTTACTGTGAACGATGCGTCCACTATTATTCCCGCTTCCTTCATTAATCTCGCGTCAGCGACTGGAACCCTCCGTGAGCCTTCGCGCGCGTTACCGGAGGAGGATAAAGGTAAAGGGGACCGCCCGACGAGTCCCCATACTTGCATGAGTCTCTCCAAGGTAGCCGGTTGAACCCGCTTTGGATCCACTCCAGATTCAATACGGGCACATTAACTGGTTGCTGTAGCGGGATGGTTCGTTCCTCTTGTGGAGTGGCCAGACGCTTCCTTGTCGCGCGTCGCGTTATTGTAGCGGCGCAATACTAAAAATCATGGAAAAACGCTCCTCCGCCCTCAGCCAGGGTTCCTGCCCTTCCGTGGTTTCTCCCTTCACATCAATGCGACCAGCGGCGACACCTGGGTCAGCATTGTGGTGTACCTCCCCAAATATCGAACTGTGCTCTGGGGAAGTTAGAACGGGTCGACGTGCACCGCCAACGGCGAGATCACGTGTGGATTCAAATTGCACGTCTCCAAGATTTGAGCAGCGTGCCTCAACGCACCGCGTTTTGTGGAATGCGCCGTGGCATTTCAAGGAGCCAGAGCTCGTTCAACTTTGGCATTCGTGATATTCGTGAGCTTTTCGTTTTCTTGAAGTGTCCTGCATAGCTTTATAATGTCGAAGGCGTCCTGCCCTCGTATCCTCACGAACCGCGGGGCGCGGTGGGGATCCGCCCTCGCCGTCTTCGGCACCACGGGCCAATCCAAAATTAAGGTCCCTTCCGCCTCCAGCGTGAAATTTTTGGGAGTCAAGGCCGCAATCTCGGACCAACAGCTCGCCGTTATCCACGCAAGTCGTAAGAAAACACGTTCCCTCCAATCGGTCCGGCTGCGAATATATTGATCCATCTCTTCCTCTGTCGAGGGGTGCGTCTGCTCCGTCTCGGTTCGCGCCGCAAGTTTTTGTAGCCCCAGAATCACCATGTCCAGCGGGGTTCAATCCATCTGCAACATGGACCGCAGCATCCTGGCGTGCTGCCGCCGGGTCGATGGCGCCACGCAGACTATTGCCACCAAAAAGGCCGCGCAGCTCTCCGCGTTGATCGGCCGTTCGTGCGTGCAGCAAAAGGTGGTAAATTGCCCGCTAGGGACATTCTCTGCTCCCACTTTGACGGCGCACACATCTCTCGCGCCGCCTCGTTCGCTCTCCTCATTTAGCTTGTCCAAAGCGGGGATGTCGGAGATTCGTCGTACAACAGTCGAGCATCGTTGGCGGATAAGCTCCATTGCCCTTCTCGTCGGTTGATTCGGGTGATTCGAAATATCGGATGAAGCGTCTTTGGCGCGGTGCGACGTCTTGTGCGCGGATTGCTGGGAGGTGGTGGAATGGATGGGGCTGTATTCTTCCGCCCTCGTAAGCAGCCGGCAGCCCCTCGCCGTTTTTTAATGGCAGACTGCGCTGCGCACGTTGCGTGTAGATGCGTCGTGTCCATAAATACGACACAACTGAAATCGCAACAATCGTTGTTTTTGTTGGGTTGCGCGCCGCTCCACAAGAGGCTGGGTCGCCCTCGCGAAGGTGTCAGCCTCGTGAACGGCCATGTGAAGGCGGGCACGAAGTGTGGAGGGCGGGATATGCTGGGGTCGGTTGTTATCGCGATCAGCGTCCGGAAGGTCTGCGGCAGGGCCCTGCCAAAAATCCATGAGCTGATCGCTGGGTTCCCGATCCATCTCCAGTGCGCGTCTGCACGACACCAAACCGTCGATGGCCATTTGAACCTGAGGGCCCACTTAGTGCAAACAATAACCGTATGCGCATCGGAGGTCGACGAGGACTCCGGAGACGACGTCATTCCATACACGCGGGGCCCAAGTGTCAACGTCCAATGCAAGGAAATGCAGTACCTGATCCTCTGCACCGGAGCCATCTTCCAAGGGGAAGGTGCGGGAGGGCAAAGGCATCGAGTGAGGGAGATGTGGCCTCCCCACATTGCCTTGAGACGTATGGGTGTTGACCCGCCGTCTCTCTCCCGTGAGATTGCGTTGGGGAAACGTGGATGCTGGCACGCCCCAGCCATCAAACGATGCCGTTTGTGCGGCTGTGTGCTTACGCCGTCTGACGGCCCTCTCCGAGAGGTGGGCGCCTCGCGTTGACACGGCGTCTCCGCGTCCCGCAAGAAGACCGCCGGCCACCGCAATGTGAGATCCGCGTGCCAACAAGTGATTATGCGCTTCTTCCACCTGAGAGTGAAGCTGAGCACTCCGATCCGCAACGCCCGCGACGGCACTGGCGTAGTCGGTGCTCAGTCTCTGTCCTCCAGCAATGATCAGCCCTTGCTGGACTCCCAACTCCCGGGCAGTACACACACGATGGGCAGCAGCACTCGAACCCCGAAATTAGATACTTGAGGCGCCCGGCGATTCGCAAAGTGCCCCGCAACGGTCGGCTCCTCCCAGTGCATGGCGATGTCTCCTGAAACCAAGCGTAAGCCTGTCATTGTTGCGGCGGCGGCTACCACCGCATCCAACGACCCGTGTTCATCAACGAAGGCGAGCTGCACCCGTACATCGCCATGCTGGCGTGCCAAGTCCAGCATGCGGGCACCAATGTCGCTTCTCCCCGTCGCCGTGTAAAAGAAAACACTGCCATTCCTTTCAATCAGCTTGCAGGGATCCCTTGTGGCTGTGAAAACTAAAATAATTACAAATCGTCTGGACACTAACAGTTCCCTGATTCCCTCAGTGACGGTCAACCAAAGATTCACAAAATAGAAAAGGATCGTGGAGAAGTATCTCCGTTTTACCAGGACACAAATACAATAGGGACGCCAGCCCACCTCATGAGCATCCTCCTCACAAGCTACCAATAAAACAACGATGAAACCCAAAAACCCTTCTGTTCATTACTCCCTCATCCACTACTCGCTTCATATTTATTCCATACATACGCATCATAAAATAAAATAATGTTATGTTTGCATATCAGTTTTACCCATCAAATGTTCGCAATAACAGTGGACACAGCGGTCTTGTCATCGCCTCCCATGTTCAGTGTGGCCCCCAATGCCGGGACGTTCTTCATCTGATATTCCCCGCAAAGACCCTTCATCTGCCGATAGATCTCCATGATTTGCTTTACCCCAGTCGCGCCAACGGGATGGCCAAAGGCAAGCAAACCACCCCCCGTGTTAACGGGTATGCGTCCCTCAAGCGCTGTGTCACCGTTGCGAATAAGTTCTTTGGCCTTGCCATAGTCGGCAATACCAAGGGCCTCGTACATGAGAAGTTCCGCGATACTGAAACAGTCATGCACCTCGGCCACCTGCAGTTCAGATGGTTTTACGCCAGCTAAGGCCAACGCTTGCTGGGCCGCTGCCCGAGACGTCACCATGCGTGTGGCGTCGGGAGGATCCTCGTAGAGATTGCCTGAGGCAGCGGCAAGGGATTTGATTTCCACCAGGGAGCTGTCATTGGGGGAAATCCCCATCTTATTCAAACCTTCTTCACTCGCCAGAATCAATGCGGCACCACCATCACTCACCTGTGAGCAGTCCGTATTGCGAAGAAACGGTTTGTATGTCTCGTTTCCGAGAAAGTTTGGATTCTTGTCCGAGGCGCTTGTGCAAAATTCCAACGATAACTTGCGTGTGTGCATGTGTGCCAGAGGGTTTTTGTTGCCATTGGCGTAAGCCTTTGCCACCACACGCGCGGTATCTTCCATTGTGAAATGTTGCGACTCCTGGATAGCTTTCATGCGCTTCGCAAAGAGACACGGAAACGTAAAGTCGTCGATACTGCGCTGACGCCTGTAGTCTGCGGCGCGTGCCAAGTAGTCACCACCCACCCGAGCCGACACCGTCGTTTGCACCTCCACCCCCGCCACCAATGCCAACTGCGAAGTGCCTGCCAGCAAGGCCTCCCACGCCACCTGCACGGCAAGACCACCACTCGCACACGCTCCCTCCACACGCATTGCGGGTTTGTTCAGGAAGGCTGTGCTACCCTTCAGACTCCCCACTGCCGCCGGACCAAGATGGCCCTGCGACGAGAAGAGTTCGCCAAGGAAATTCCCAACCACTAGCTTGTCGACAAGAGCAGCTCGGCCGTCCTTGCGTAGGCCGGTCTTCTCTAGAGCGCCGTTGATGGCGTCAGCCAGGAGCTCCTCCAGCGTTTTATTCTCCTTTTTACCAAAGTCCGGGTGCTTCTTGTCAATAAAAAGAGGGGAACCTTTCCCCAAAAAAGGGGTGATGTGACCGCCGACAACAAAGACGCGCTTTACGGCAAGAGTTACGGCGTTACGGCGAAACATACTCTCTTTTTTTTTCCCCCTTTGTATGTCTGTACGTGTGCGTGCGTGTGTAATTTATTATCCCTTGTCAATAATGGCTGAATGTACTTCCTTTAGACCTCGTTTTATTCCTACGGGAAAAATAAATATTATTTTTATTTTTTTTTTTATTTATTTATTTATATGTATTGTATTGTATTGTATTTTATTGTTGTTGTTGTTGTTTTTTACCCCACTCCTTTTTTTTTTTAATGGATTGTAGCTCCGCAAGCCCACTCTAGCGATAAATGATTACAACAAGCCGGCATGCAAGAAAAACAGAAGAAGCATCCGTGAAATTCATTTGAAGAAGAAGTACAACCACAAGAAAATAGTGCGCGTCTCTCTCTCTCTCTCTGTGTGTGTGTGGTACGTGAAAAATGTCAACAAACGACATTTCCTTCACATGGGCCTTGTTCCCTTGTTGCTTCTCTGTCGCCATGAATCCCTCTCTCCTTTCCTCTCTCTCTCTCTCTCGTCGAATTATGCACATTAGGCAAAGTAATAATAATAATAATAATAACGTGCATCGACATTGTCAAATATATATATATATATCACGCATTGTGTGTGGATCCTATTCCTCCCCTTTTCCCTATACACCCGTCCCATGATTGCCCCCTCCCAAAAAAAAAAAAACATTTCCCCTGAATGGAATCTTCGCTGCCACTACTACTGACACTAAACGCAACGTCCCTTCTCCCTTCTGATACGACGCCAATACCCCCAAACTCTACGCCCACCAAGGCGGGGTTGTACACTACATTGTCCCTTCCCAGCCATGCTTGCCACCAGACCAGGCAGCGCCAACGTAAAAGTGTCGATAGCGGATGTATGTGTCGCTAGTCGGGTAATCAAGCGTGTTGGGTTTGAATGCCTTGCGCAGCTCCAACACCTTCTCCCTCGGGTAGTACTGCTCCAAGCAATCAAAGTGGGCCTCTATCTTGTACTCGCAGCTACCGCCCTGTGCCAGGCAGAAGTCACGGGCCCACCGCGTCTCCGGGCACCGCAGTCGGGGATTTTGGTCAGAGCACGGCAGCGGCACACCGTGTTTCGGGTACTCCGTGAGGATCTTCGGGAAAGTCTTCCACGTCTCTATGCCCATGCCTTCCCGCCTCTTTCCCGTGAGTACAACGCAAGACCACAAGAAAAAAAAAAAAAAAAAAATGAAAGTAAAAAAGGCGGGAAAGGGACAAAAACAACACGTGAATAACAGAAATGGACACAAAAGCAGAGATAGCACACACACACACAGAGAGAGAGAGAGAGAAAGAGAGAAAGAGAAAAAAATGAAATAAGAATAACGCAGCGTCACAAACCAAAAAGGGGGAAATAATAATAATAATAATTTCAAAGAAAACCAATAGAAAAGACAATCACATACCTTTACATGGAGCGCACATACACACAAAAAAAAAAAAAAAAAAGACAGGCACCATTGTTCTCTCTGCCGTTCCCACCTGTGCCGCACAGAGTGGGGGAGTAATTCATTGGCTACATGACCCCCAGACCATAAAAGAAGGAACAGGGAACAGAACACAACAAAACAACTGAGGGCACAAACCAAAAGGAAGAAGGCATCCACCGCAAGAGCGATGCTCGGCGTGGGACGACGGAGAGAGAAGAAAATGGAAGAGAGGGACCATCAAAAAAATAATTTTCAAACAATTTCCCCCCCCCCTTCGCCTCCCCTCCAAAACCAAAAAAAAAAAAAAAGGGGGAGGGGGAGGGGGAGGGGGTGAAGGAGGAAAGAAGACATGATAATGATGGGGGAGCTCATGCGACAAAGAAGAAAAGGTCAATAAAAGAGCTCAAAGCCAGAGAACCCCAGAGGCCTCACACAGATCCCTACATAAATAAAAAAGAAAACAAAAAAAAAGACATGACACTCATAAAGAAAAAAAAAAGGAAAAAAAACATTCTTTACTTCACTGTTGGTGTTATTCCTTTTGTTGTTGTTGTTTTTTTCTCGCCGCCACCTCTTTTTGATTTCTGTTTGTTTGTTTGTTGCCCTCGTCTTTCTTCATTGCTTTACTCCTAATACACGTGTAAATATATATATATATATATAAGAATATTTAATAATATAATAATGCCATGGATGCACATTTGACATTCTAATTGCCCCTCTGGTGTAGTCGGCCACCTCAATGCGGTGCCAGTGTCCATTACTCTCTTGCTAGGGAGGAAAAATAATAATTGCTTGCCATTTATAATTCAAGCCCGATGCTTATTTGTTTAACCTAATTCCTACGGGCTGTGAGGGCACAAAAGATGGAGCCATTTGTAATGGCTTCCCGCAGAGTGGGAGGGAGGCAATAATAATGTTATTTCTTGCTGCTGAATTCCAACGTACGCCTACCAGAGCTGCACATTGGAGGGGTGGGGCGGGGGTGGTGTATTCGCCACGACCGGTAAAAGTAGAAAAATAAAATTAAAATAAAAAAGAAGAAAAAAAAAAAAACATTCGAATTGCAGATGACATTTTTTTTTTTTTTTTTTTTTTCAATGGCTCAAGGGCCAACCTACAAAACAAAACAAAAAAAAAGAGAGAGAGAGATGAAGTCGACAAAATCTCATTCCTCCGTTTCCCTGTCCCTCCCACTTCGTAGCATGCACCATTCCGTTTGCACACTCTTATTCTCTGCCAATGTAGTGGCGGGAAAGTAACACAAATCATGTTTACAGAAAAAAAAAAAAAAAAAGACAGAAATGCCGGGGGTTTTGTACAACAACAAGACACACAGACACACACACACATATATATATATATATATATTTACAAGCCTCCATGTATATATGTAGTGCCATATCGTCTACGGCACATTATTACATTTCATATGCACAGACATTGAGTGAAGCCAGGAAGAAAATTTTCATTCTGTATTCATCCCCCCTCCTACCGTACCCAAACTCCCCATCCTCCCCTTTTGTTATTGCTCTTGTTGTTATTTTTCTCCTTTTGCCTTTTGTCTTTGTTCACTTTTGGCTTTTCGTGCTGCTTTTCTTTCTTTCTTTTTTTTTTTTTTTTTTGCCTGGTGTTGTTGTTGCATCTCGCCCCTTACGCCGGCCATTCAGCAAAAAAGTGACGTTCGCTGCGACTGGAAGAGTCCTGCCAATTAAAAAGACCCACACACACACACACACTGGCACTGACACATAAGCAAGAACGCAAGGCCTTTCCCTCCCCTTTTCCTTTCCCCACCCCCAAAGGCCTCATGAAAACTGAAATCCCAACAGGTGGACAGTTTTAATCCTCACACGGCGACCCCGTAGATGGAGGCGCCTGTGCCAAACACGGCGGCGACGCATCCAGCGAGCAAAAGGAAGTACGTCAAAAAGTACAAGAGGAATCCTTTTTTCTTCAGCGTAAAGTCACCGCTATACATGAACATCAGCGAAGGAAAAATGTAGCCGATAAATCCGCCACAGAAGGCACCCACAAGTCCAAACACAATATTGATGTTGGGAACAAAGAGACCAGCCAGCAACAGGACTAAGGACAAAAATGTACAGAACACCGCGTTCTGCCACCATGGAATCAGGTATACATCCCAGCCAATCAAGTGATAAATACCGTCTCGCATTGGTAGCTGATGAAGGGCGAACGCAACGCAAATCTTAAAGACAATTCCAACATATGCAATGGCAAAAAGAACACTTTCACCTGGTTGATACATGAGGAGAATGGAATCGGTCACTGCCTTTCCAAAGCGCATGTATCCAAAGAAACCAACCAAAATGTACAATAAGCCACATCCACTCATGGCAATGATGCTGTCTCGCACCATTCGGCGGGGTGAAGGGTGAGACATCTCATGGTACACCTCAAATGCATTAATTTGCACAAGGCAGGCAAACATAACCATTCCAAGTCCTTCAATTGCATGGTTGCCCGTCCCAAACATCTCCAGTTCGCTGCGAAATCCATGTTTACTTGCATATTGGCATGCGTCAATGATGATACATATCACAAAAAATAAAATGCAGATGCATCCGAGCAAAGACGTGTGCCGCAGGGAATCGATTTGCTTAGGAAGGCAAAGCGGCAAAATAAAAACGAGCCAAATCATACTTGTGATAAGCCGATTTCCGGGTTTGGTCGTCAGAAAGTAAGGGACACCCGGGTTTGCAAAAACCGGCGTCAACAGGTTCCCAATGGAAATAATATAACCGACACCACCGCCAATACAAAAACCGCACATGAGAACCGCCACCATACAAGCGGGGAATCGGCCCATCAGAACTTTCATTACATCTTCGTAGGTGCGCTTCCCTGAGACATCCGCGGAGCGGGCAAGCAGCCAGAGTGAAAAGACGGTCAGAATCACCACCACCACAAGCAAAATTATGGATAAGATGTACCCTGTCATGTTGAACGCGGAGGGCAGGCCAAGAATCCCACCCCCAAGCGTTGAGCTTCCAAGCGTAAAGGCACTTGACAACATGCTGCCAGGCGGGAAGACGCGCTCCAGAATTCGTTGCGGCAGACTTTTCCTCTTTCGTTGCCTTAACATTTCGGCAGTTGGTGGCCCCTCCTCAAAGTCATGCAACACCCCGTCAATGTTTTTGGTGCTTCGTGCCATTTCCATGATCCGTTCTCTGCTGCAGCACGACATGAGGGACGTTTCATTGCGATGCGCTTTTGAAAAGGAGTTCCGGTCTGTCACCAAGACAGGGAAAAATATATTCCCGGCCCCTTCATCGTCTCCATACGGGGCAGTTTGCGAATGATTTTTCATCCTTTCCTTTTAATATTTCTTTTTTTTCTTTTCTCCCTTTCTTTTCTTTTCTTTTTTTTTTTTTTTTTTTTTTTTTTTACAACTAAGCCTGTTTTTGTTTTGTGTCTTCTGTCTTTTCGGGTGTGCCGTCCCACACATGTGTGGGGAGGGGTACGGGGGGGGTGAAGCCATGCGGAGAAAAAAAAGAAGGCGCAAA